CACTCTCTTTCTCAAAATTAACTGGAATTAGTTTCTGATTTTTTTAATTAATTTTGTTCTTCTTGCTAGAACCATCAATGGGTGATTTTAGAGTCAATCAACTCATGGATTCTGTGGAATCATTAAAAGATCAGTTATTTGAAATTTGTTCAAAAGAGAGAAGTAATGCAAATCAAACAATTTTTTCTTTAAAAATGGAATGTTAAAATTAATTAGGAAAAGCTAAATAAGAAAATAAGAAAATTAAAAAAAAGACAGGGAATATGTGGAGGAGAGATGGAGCTGGTGAGGCGTTTCTTCCACCAAAAGAAGTAACTTTACTTTAATTAATGAGAATGAGTTGGACCATAAATCCTATAAGTACAGTTTGGTGGTGATTTTAGGCATGATTAGAGGGTGTTGAAAAGAGACTTTAAGATTGTGGATGTGATAGATCATTGGATTTTGATACTGGTATCAAGCATGCGGTATTAAGGGACTGCTCAACTTATTTTTTTAATTTATTGTTTAATCTTATTAAACTTATATTACATGAGGCTAGATTAGATAAGATCAATTTGATCAGATCATATCGGATCTAATGAAATACACCTTTGTTTTTAAAAAAAGTTCCTAAATGGACTAATGGGTGAACAAAGAAATGTATACTTGTAGTTGAATTTTCAATTTTGTTCTTGATGTGATGAGTAAAAATAAGATGGGATGGGTAAATCATTAGTAGAAAAATATGATGTGATTGGTAGGGTAAGAAAAAGTAGAAATAGAGTTTGTTTTTGAGTAAATTCCATAAAAGGTCCTCAGTTATTGGTCGTTTTACATATTTAGTCCCTACATATCAAATATTACTAATTTAGTCTCCAATTATTATATTCATTTCCACGAATGGTCCTTTCTTAACATTTCTGCTAAGAACATAGATAAAATTGTAAATTCACACTCCTTTCTCTCCTCAATTAAGTTTTCTCCCTCCCCTCGCACTCTTTCCCAAACTCGTCGCTGAGTTTGAAGCTCTAAACCCAAAACTAAAATGATCATTCCTCTCTCAATTATTAGTCTTCCTCGTGAAACCTAAAATCAAAACCAATAAGCTTTATAGATGAGTTTTATCGGTTAGTCTCAAGAAATTGCAAAGGAAATAAACATTAAAACTCATCCATCAAGATTATTGGTTTCGAATTTGGGTTTCACCAGTTAGACAAACAATTGAGAGAAGAGTGATGATTTCGATTTTAGATTTAAAGCTTCAAACTCAGCGACGGGTTTGGGAAAGGAGTGCGAGGGGAGGAAGGAAGTTTAATTGAGGAGAAAAAGGAGTGTGAATTTACAATTTTATCCACGTTATTAATGAAAATGTTAACAAAGGACCATTCGTTGAAATGAATATAATAATTGGGGACTAAATTAGTAATATTTGATATGTAGGGACTAAATATGTAAAACGACCTATAACTGGGGACCTTTTATGAAATTTACTCTTTGTTTTTTAATATAAAGTGGAAGTGTTTTGGGGAAAGTTAAAAAAAATGAAAGAGAAAATGTTTAAAAAAATGGAGGAAGTAAGATCTAATTTGATTCAAATAGATCAGATCCAATCAAATCGGATCTTTCAGATTAAACTATGTTAATCCGAAAAATGTTGAAAATTAATATGAATTTTTTTCTCTTATTACATACTCTATCCTAGTGTTTTTGTCCACTTTTCTTTTTTGGGGTGTCCCACTGCTTTTTTTCACTTTCCTTTTTTTAGTATGTCTCATTTGTCTTAATCCTTCTGTTTATGCTCTATCTCTTATATATCTGATATGTTCAAAGCCGAGACATTAAAAGAAGAAGCAGATAAGAAGGAAAAAGAGAGAGAGAGAGGCGGGGCAATTTCAATATATTTCCTGATGATCCATAAAGGAAATAGTACACTCCTTAAATAATGGTGAATGTAAACTACTTGCTAAACTTACGCCTACAAATATGCACGATTGTGGTTGTGGCTTTATTTGACCAAGTACTCCACTAACCAACTAAGACTAAGTCACTACAGAAACATTCAACAAATGAAATAGTCAACAAAAGAAATAAATAAAATAGAAGTGAAGATACTTGACTACATGAGTGCCTCTACGTCCCATGCACATATCATTTCCCCCTCCCTCAAGCACCTTGCCCGCAAGGTGAAAAAGAAGGGTGGGACTTGCGAAAAAGCCATTCACTTTCCCATGTAGCATCTTCCACTAGGCCACCCACCCATTTAGCCAAGATTTCATGTCAAGGCTGATACTTACCCTTCTGAACCACCCGGTAGTCCAAGATTTGTTTTGGTTGCGGTTCTACAGTAGTTACATCCGAGACGGTAGTAAGAGGTACGGTTGGTGAAATGGGCTTTTCGTGATGTAATTTGAGATTGCTAACTTGAAATATATTATGAACTTGAGAACTCGCTGGCAACTCCAACTCGTAAGCTACCAGCCCAATGCGTTTAAGCACCCTAATGGGCCCATAAAATCGAGGAGCGAGCTTGTTGGACAACCGTCGTTCCACTATAACCTGCTTCTATGGGTGGAGTTTGAGATAAACATAATCCCTTACCTCAAAAGTAACCTTGCGACAACGTCAGTCCGCAATGTTCTTCATAGAATTTTGAGCCTGCAAAAGATTCTTCCTTAAGTCTTGTAGCAACACAGTGTGCTCTCGTAATCCTTTATCTACTGCTTCACCTTGGTTGTACCCAATTCGTAAGGGATCAGACGAGGTGGAGGAGCCCCGTACACCACCTCTAATGGAGATACCTTCGTAGACGAATAGACCAAAGTGTTGTAGCTATATTCCGCCCACGATAACCACTCGACCCAAGACTTGGGACGATCGCCGACAAAGCAATGTAAGTACTCTTCGAGGGTACGATTTACAACCTCAGTTGCCCATTCGTCTGAGGATGATAGCTCGAACTCATGCTCAACATAGTACCCTGCAATTCATACGAAGTCTGCCAAAAGGTACTCATAAAAATCTTGTCTCGATCACTAACAATGGAAGCTGGAATGTCGTGCAAGCGAACCACAATGTTGACAAAAGCCTTAGCAACTGAGACAACTGTAAAAGGGTGCTAGAGGGCTATGAAATTAAATGGGCGTACTTGGATAACCAATCAACCACCACAAAAATCATGGAGTAGCCACTGGAAACCGGAAGACCTTCCACGAAATCCATAGAGATAGAAGTCCAAATCTGTGCTGGAATCGCAAGTGGTTGTAATAGGCTAGCGGCCTTGAGGTTGTTTGCCTTGAACCTTTGACATATAGAACACTCCTGTATATTTAAATAGTTCTCCAACAAAAATGTGTTAAAAACCACCTTTCATTTTTGGTCTTTTGGCAAAAACCATGTAAAATAGCTTTAAACTTGGCTAGCTGTGGTTTTTACCTCAATGACGTGGTTTTTAAGATATTATACTTTATTTCTTATTTAAATTCTTTAAATAAGTGCTTCAAACACTTAGCTTTTAATTTAGAGAACTTTGATTTTTGACATCGGCTTTTGGCATTGACCGGCTAACCATGGTTTTAGCGAACTAGCCAACAGCGATGTTGGCTTTGCAACATCGATGTCGAGGTTGATATTGAAAACCATGGGTTGATAGAATAATTTTCGGCAGCGATGTTAGAAGTGAAACGTTGCTGTTACGCCAAAACCCAAAGTTCCAATAGCTGGCCTCAACAACAATGTAGACCATAATACATCGATGTTGAGCTTCAAGGTTAAAAGTATGCCTTTGGCTGAATGCATTTCAACAGCAACGTTGGCCCAGCAACATCAATGTTAGGCCAATTTCTTCCCTTAGCAGTAGAGCTCTTAGCAACGATGTTCAATGATGAACATTGGTGTTGGCTCCTGACAATTGGAAGAAATTAAAGGCTAAATCTTTCCTTCTTTGGAAGTCAACCCATCCAACAGCGATGTTCAGCTATTGAACATCGATGTTATGGCGACCGCTGAACATTCCAATTGGAAATTTTAATCCTTAACAGTGATGTTGAGTACTTGAACATCGATGTTAGGCCAATATCCAGCAGATACTTTTCCCCACAGATCTTGGCAATCATCCCCAATCATCTCTCATCCATTGGAGCCTCTTTTTTGGTATAAATAGGGGTCTTTGTGTAACACCCTGAAAACCGGTCTAAAAGTTAATCGATAACTAAATAAATAAGAATTATTTATTTACGATAATCAATTCTTTTAAAGAATTAAAAGATATTTTAGAGATTCTAATTGTCTTAACAAAACGAAACTAATCTGATTATATTTGTAAAGATTTAAAGTAAAAAACTGATCGGTACTAATTAAACAAAAGAATTAAGACGGACTAATTAAACAAAAGAATTAAGACGGACCAGGTGGAACCTGTAAATACTTATTGAATGATTATAAAAGTTATATCGTTGGGTAAGGATCGACAAATCAAATGCAACGATGCGAACAGATCTCAAATTGGAGCAATTGGGCCCAAAAGTGTGTTTTACTCAGACTTTAAGGTAAGGAGTACACTTTTCACGCGTCTCCAGCCGCCTCCCCCTCTTCTCTGATTCTCCTTCCCTGACCAACACATGCAGCAGCACGAGGGATGGTGACAATTGGCGACGACGACTCCCCCGACCCATCAACGACGGCAACTAGCACGCGGGACGGCGGATCTTTTCTCTGCTCCGGCGACGAGCCAAACCAGCGGCGAAAGTCCTTCGACGAGAACGATCGGCGCAGAGTTGCGACCGGCCATTCCAGCGACCTCGGCAGCGGCGAGGTGGAGTCTAGACAGGGACGAGGGTGGTCTAACCCTCAACTTCTCCGGTGAGTGGCGAGAAAACAGCCGGCGAACCAGCGAGCTCCAGCGACCGGCGATGACTGGGTATTGCTCGGTTTGGTTCGGGCAGGCCTGGGTAGTAGTGGGCGGTTCTGGACAGTGGCGGTAGCACCCCGACGATCTTTGGACATCAATGATCAAGAGTGGGGCAGCGGGGTATGGTTGACTCCGTCAATGCTCCGTTCGAATAAGGGTTTCTTTGAATTCGAATCAATGAACCGAGGTGAGTACGTGGACATCTAACACTAGAATATGCATCTAGGTTTGAAATTCCGTTCATAATTATTATCGTGGTTGATCTGTGTGATTTATCTGTGTAATTGTTGATTATGGTTTCGGGAATTATTGCCGTTAAATAAAAAAGGGTAGTATGCATGATTTAGGCGTTGATTGATGAATTGTTATTCTTGATGATGTTTAGAACGTTAATATGAACCTATTGGTGTTGTGTTATGAGATTGTTGCTGTTGTACCCAAACTTAGGATGGATAAACAGGAACAAATTCACTCAAGATTCAGAGCTATGGAATAATCGATTAGCACATATGGTAAATAGATTATTAGGGTTTAGCTCAACTGGAAATGTTCAGAGGAACCAGATAGTCGATTGACACTATAAGACAATCGATTGTGTGATGTTGCAGATTTTGAAGAAGAATCAGAGGGCTTCAATAGTCGATTATCAAACAATGATAATCGATTATTTATAGGTTCAGGATCAGAATTAGAAGAAAAGAAGGGAAATGTTTTGTGGTTTTTGTATAAAGGATAAACCAAATAATATGTAAGAGATAAACACACTCTTAATATATATTTGGGGCTGTTATCTATTTTATACAATAATAATCACTATTAAAGTATTAAATAGACTCCTAACACACACTCAAAAGTGGCCAACTTTAGAGATATTTCATTAGGAAATGAATTGAACTAGCTTCACACCAATTTAGGGAATACTTCAAGAGTAATATTGATAATGAAAATGAGATGATCTTTACAAGGCCTCATGGCCGAAATATATAATGCAAAATAAGGGAAATTACACTTCACTTTCCTACAAATCATGTGATTAATATCCATGTGTTATTATTCTTAGTGGGCAGCACTCATTGACCAGGAATAAAAGGAGATTAAAAGGCTGGGATTTTGGCTTAGTATGATTCATTAATTCCTGCCATGTGAGAAGGGAATCAAGGAAAATTGTAACTTTGACAATTAAGGATAATGTGACAAAGTTTGCACTATTCAATCAATGATTTTGGTTCCTTGATGTTTTTATCTTTATCCTTGGTAAATGGAGTTGTGTTTATGGATATTTGGAGTGGGAAATTCGGCCATATGCTGAAGAATATGAAGGGGATTGGGTTTTGAACAACAGGACAAAATCAGCACTATTCAATCAAGGAAAACTTTTTCCTGATTTTGTTTTTGTTTTGTGGAACATAATGTGGCATGATTTTTGGGTAAAAGAGTTGGGAATTTCGTGGGTTTGAAGTAGGGTAGTGAAAGGGAGGTTTTATTTTAATTAAAAGGAACAACAGAAGTAGAAATAATACACAAGGCTTGTCCTTCTGACCTCATTCTCGTTCAGGGCTAAAAAGGAGAGAAAGGACTTTATTTTGTTTATTAAATGGAAATAAAAGACTTTGGATATTTGGGAAGGATATGGAAAGGCTTGATATCAAGAAGAGCTTTGGAGGAGCAGGGTTATGGTTTGGGTTTTAGGGTACGAAAGGTTAATGAGTTTAGCCCAAAAAGGATCATAACACTTAGATATTAACCCTTTAATTTGTTTTATGGTTTGTGGTGTAACCTCCGTGCTTGTAGGAGCATCCCGGGGTACATCAGTTGCCGATGTGATGCTGAAAAACGAAACAGGTAAGAAGTTGGAAAATTATTGCGTCAGACGGTAGGCGGTACCGCCGTGACGGTACCGTGCTACCGTCACCCTCTGTTGGTTTTTTGTGCCTCTGTCGGTAGCTGCAACCGTACGGTACCTAGGTACCGGACGGACGAGAGGCCCTATTGCCTGGTCGGTAGTTGGCTACTCTAGCAGTCCTACCGAAAGAGTTCATTGATTCAGACGGTACCCCCGGTACTGTAGGACCGGTACCCAGGTACCGTAAGGACGGTACCCCGTACCGTGACAGGTACCGTCTGGTACCTGATACCGGGTTTGTCGATATGTGTTTTCGTCAAGGATTGTTTCCGAGACTCTGTGTGTTGCATGACGGTAAACATGGGTGTCTACACCCAGTGTTAGGCCGCTATTTGACTTATGTTAGATATCTTGTTTAATGCATTGTGGATTTATGAATGTTGTATTATGTACTGATTAATGAATATTGGATATATCACCTAGAAGAACTCTAGGAAATGACTTTAATGGGTTAGTGGCAAGGTATGCCATAAGTACAGTTAGTTAGAGCCATGTGGTACCTGCTGGGTCCAATGGTTGTTCGGGTAAAAACGTGTACACGGGGATCTAAGAACTGTTGTTCCGAAGGGGACAGGGATCTCACCCACCCAACGAGGAACTCCCGAGTTGGTTTGAGCTTGACCTTCGTTCCGAAGGGGAAGGTCATGACTCCATAGGCAAGTCGAATTCAGTTAAGCTTTAACCTAGCATAGGTTAAGAGCCAAGCACGTTTTGGAAAGTAGAGTAAACTAAAAAGGAAAGTTCCTAATACATATACCGATGGTGTTTGTATCCTATGAACTGTTATGACATTGATTATGCATGTTATATCTTAGATGCTGTATGATTGTTGCCAAGCATGTTGTGTGCATGATATCATGTGATAATTGTGAATTAGTGGATTCGCCTATGTATGTGTATGTTCGAACTGTTAGATATTTCTCACTTAGCTTCAATGCTGAGCGTGTAGCCTCTTTTTTTCCTATTTGCTACACGTAGGTGGTTGTGGTAGATTGATTCTGGAGTCCATCCTAGAGAGCAGCATGACGGAGGAGATGTACGGATGCAGGGATTTAATGTTCGATTTAATTATAAGGCTTCCGCACTGTTTGTATAAACTCTGTTATGTATTTAAATTAATTTAAGTTGTTTGAGTTTTAAATTTGTTGAAAAATATTGTATGTGGGTACCAATTTAGTAGCAACCCGGTTCGCTAATCCATTTATTCGGGTTATGCGGGTTGGGGTGTTACATTTTGGTATCAAAGCATATGGTTTTAAAATCGGTCTTCGGACCCTTGCAAAGCACAATTTTGAAAATAAATGAGTGGAAATAGTATTATTTTGATAATAATATCAATGACAAAAGTTATTTCCAAGTACTGCATCTGCATATTCCACGTCATCTCTGCCTCCCGGAAGGTAATCAGTTATTGTCTTATTGCTTAAATGTTTGTATGGAGCTGATTGCTCAAGTTACTTGAACTTAACTGATTGTTCGAATAGTTGTATTGAGCTGATTGCTCAAATACTTGTTTGAAGCTGATTGCTTGAATGTGTGTGCCAATTGACTGTTGGAATAGCTGTGTTGAGCTGCAAATTGTTGATTAATGTGCATACTGAAATGCGATAGTATAGGATAGGAATTAAAATCCCGTGGATGGAACCTACTACTATAAGGTGAATGTTAGCATAAACTCTGGCAAGGAGATGCTAGGTAACAAAAGAAAAGAGTGTAAAAATATACTCATAATAAAATATCTTGTCTAATATTCGATTATCTCATTTGATCACCGGAATGGATGGCCAAATTCTGAAGGGGCTGCAAACCTGGATGGATGAAGAAGTCTTATTTTGGTATCAAATGGGAATGACCGTATAAAGGACAAGGAGAACTTGTTTGATTAATAAAGAAAACAATACTTACCACCAGCACATCATAGTGTAGTGATGTGGCTGGATGCAAACCCAAAGAATGTAATGAATAATCTATCTGGCAAGACGAGACGTTCCGACGTACCTTGATCGACAAGATGAGACGATTGAAGCAGACTCGAAACAAGTTACGACATCGACACGTAGAAATGTGTTCGGTCGTTAGTGGACGCACCGATGAAAGACTCCTGACCGTTACAAAGTCTAGTTAGCAAGAATTAGTGACGCCAATAGTAATTGTGGTGACGTAAGTAGAACGCTCCACTTACTCTTGTTAGTATGATTCAGAGAATTGTTTGAGAAATAACTTTAATGAACCAAGAACGGATCAGTTTAATTTTGACTATGCCGTTTGAGATTTTAGGATTTCGACTTGCGAAGGGTGAACCCACTCCGAGATCGAGGAATGCACTTAATGTCGAATATATTGCTATTAATGACGTGTCACTAAGTTGAATGCCACCTGACACTCTTAGACGAACATCTAAATGCGCGCTAAGAACGTGAAATTACGACATTTCTACGTACCGCTTGAAAGGAGTAAAACACGATAATCTTGAACACCAAACTACATCGAGCACGCTAACCAAGCACGAACCATCGAAGGTACAAAGCTGGAGCACACACAAACACGACGAAGGTGTGTGACGCAACTTCACGTAGACACTCCATGTAACGCCCCGAAATTAGGCCTATCAGAATTAATTAATTGATAATTAATTAATTACTGAGAAGGACCTAAAAATAAGTGATTTATAAAGTTTGTCAATAAATAATGAAAATTTTATCGTTATGTAGAGTTTAACTGTCTGATTCCAACGGTTCAATCAGATTTCAATTCGGAGAAAGTTGGACCAAAAAGTGTTCCCGACTAGGACCAAATTAGTCCCAATCAGGGACTTACGTTTAAAATCAGAGAAGATAGCAGTCCGCTCCACTCAGCCGCCTAAACAGTCGAAGGAGAGGTCATCAACATGTGTCTTCTTCCATTTCCTTCTCTATAAAAGGGCTACCACAACTTCCTCCATTCTTCACCATTTCTTACAAAATTACATTCTATTCTGTTCATTGTTGAGAGAGGAGTGCAGTGGTGCTGTCATCTTGGTGAGAGGTCGCTGGAGCAAGCCGTGGTGTTCGCCGGAAGTTTCACCGTTTTTCCGTCGGAATCATCGTTTCACTTTGAATTAAGCCCGTAGATATATCTAATGATTAGAATGTTCATATAGGTCGTTTCTACGTTCATAAATGGTCATTTGGTTGAGTTTTGTGTTTGACATGCTTGAAGAACTAAGAATCATAAACCTTGAATTTGATGTTAAAACTATGAATTAATGATACCAAAATGATCTATGAACCTTGGAGAACATTTCTATATAGTTTAATTGAAGTTTGGTAGTTAAAAATGATATTCACGAAGCTTGAACCGAGGTTGAAGACGAAGTACTGTTCCTGATTCGAATGCAGCACGCAATAGCGGTAATGCACTACCGTGAGACGGTAGGATGGTACCGCCACAACCCATTTTAACCTGTCCAAAATCTTCATGTTCGAAAATTAACTCCAAAAAAAATGCTATCATGATATTTTTCCACTCCAAGACAGAAATGAAACCATTTTTAAAGTAAATATAATATTCTGATTAATCCTAATATGTTATGTGATGCATGACGATAAGTTCGGGTGTTAATACTCGAGACTAGGCCACTATTTGCTATCGAATGTTATGTTGATTGATCATTGTGATGAATAAATATTATGAATGATGAACCTACTGATTAGAATGATTATTGATGACTTAATCATAATTAAAAATAGATATATTGATAATCATAACGAGAATGTATTGTTAAGGGTATCTAGAACAAACTCTAAGATATACCCATAGTGAAATTGATATCGAAAGGTATCTAGAAGAAATCTAAGATATACCTATTTAAGTTAGGCCTTGTGGGTATGATGCCTGGTACCTAGGGTTAAAACGTACGTACGGAATCCAAGAACCAAACTTGAGTACCTACTCGTTTGGGGGTACCACCCAACCCAACAGTGAACACTACGCTGTCGGTTTTTGGTTGACCTTAAGCGAAGGTAAGTTTAAGATTTGAAAACTCTTTTTAAAAATATATCTTAAACTAGGCCTAGCTAAGGATTAGGATATCTTGAACTAGAATCAGTTTAAGAATGGAATTGGCCTTAGACTAGGTATAGTTTAAGGATATTTTTGAATATTGAATATTGAATATGAATGTGGAATATTGAGATATTGAAATAAAAATATTGAGAATATCATGAATGAATTATATATTGTGTGCATGATATCAAAAGGTTATTTGTGAATTGAGATTCAATTTATGTGGATGTTCGACGCTTTAGATATGCTTACTCAGCTTCATCGCTGAGCGTGTAGTATGTTTTATTTGCTACACGCAGGTAGGCAGAATGAATGATTGGCATGTTCCTGGCAGCGGAAGGGGCGAGACTGTCGTGGTATAATTTGTGATTTTAAAATAAATAATTGTGTTGTTATTAAACATGGTTTAAATTGCTTCCGCACTATTGTTAAATACTCCGTATTTTGCTACAGTTATGTATTAAATAATATTTATGATGAATAAAAGTATTTGAAATGTTTTAAATTTTACGATTATCAAGTTAATACTTTAGTCCGAAAGGGGCTGCAGACCTGGACGGATTAGGGTGTTACAATTTGGTATCGGAGCAAATGGTTTTAAAACCGATCTTCGGATCAAAAAATTTGTTTAAAAAAAATATTTATATATATATATATATATATATATATATATATATATATATATCGGCCTTAAAAAAATCAATCAAATCCACGACTCTCGCATCCCTCTGCTCCAAGAAGGTAATAAAAATTAAGTATTGAATTTGACTGTATTAAATCTTTATAGATGTCAACTGTTAATTCGGAAATGATATCAAGTGTTGATTCAAGTCGCACTTTCGTACTTGGTAAAAGACGAAAGAACAAACGAAATGTCTATGACTCGTTGATACGTTACCAACGTGCACATCGCTTCGCGAGAATAATGAAACGAAGGATTTATTTGCGCCGCAAGGCTGCATGGGAACGAGACGACCCGGAAGAGACGTTTAGTGTAGACTCTACCAATTGCGTATGTGGATCGGGCGTGGAAGAACCGTCTGTAGATTCGTCACGATCCTACCAATCGAACACAAACGTTTAGAAATCATCTTGTTGTTCATTTTAAATCCATCGATTGTATCGACTATTGTAATCCTTTGCAATTCTTGTCTTAAACTCAACTACTGAATAAAGAATCCTAATAAAGGAATTTTTGTTATTGTAGAATGAGTCAAGAATCTGCCCACGGACAAGGCAACAACAATGAACACGTCAGTGTTCATACTGAAGCATCTAGCTTCATCCCTCCCGTCCAAAATGAACCCGTCAATCAACAAAATGTTGGGAATAACCCGAACGCTGGTGGTCAACCCGACCTTGTGATTCCAACTTTTCTGGCTAATGTGTTACAACAGATATCCAACGCACCAATGTTTCAACCAACTCCACCTCGTGTGGTAACCTACAAAACACTAAGGGATAATGGTACAGAGATATTCCTTGGGGATCGCATTGCTGAACCCCAAATTGCATGGGATTGGATCGAGCAGACGGCTCGGGTGTTGGAAGATCTTAATGTACCCACTGACAATTATCTCAGACTGGCTTCTCAATTGCTTCGAAAGGAAGCCTACGAGTGGTGGAAGAGGACCGATGAGAGTGCGGGAACCCCTAAGCCGTGGACATGGGCACATTTCGAATGGGCATTCAAGCAAGAATATATTCCGAAACATTTTAGCAAAGAAAGACGTATGGAATTTGTCGAACTGCAACAGGGAGACATGACACTCCCTGAATACCGTAAGAAATTCACCAAACTTGCAAAGTTTGCGCCAACCTTGGTGAGTACCCCAACCGATCGCATTGAGGAGTTCAAGAAGAAACTTCGACCTGACCTGAGGTCGCGTGTGTCCGTCCTAACCACCGTGGATTTCGCAGAGGCCTACGATCTCATAGCCAGGCAGACGGCGACTTGAGTGCTTGCATTGAGTATCTGAAGACAAACAATGTCAGCTCAAGCACTCACCGTCCCATCAGCTCTGTCTCAAAAGGAAAAAGGCCCTTCCAGGAATCTAGTAGTTCACATTTCTCTAAAAAGGGAAAATCTGCACAAACCCAGTCAATGACATCCGGTAATAGGACTAAGGGGTGGAAAAATCCACAGTGCGACAAATGCGGAAGACACCACCCCAGGGAATGTTGGCTTACTTAAGGGTTATGCCTCGGCTGTGGAAAACCAGGACACTTCCGAAAGGAGTGCCCTACAAACCTCGGAGAACCGTTTCCACCTGCCCCTGTTGTTAGTCAAGTAGCATCGGAACGACCCGCACCAAGTCAACGCTCAACAGCGGGGTCTAATCCAGCCAAGAATCAGAACCAACAACAAGGACGAGCTCCTGCTCGTACATATGCAATGAAGGCACGAGCTGAGGAAAACCCTGACGTCATTCAGGGTATGTTTTCCTTATTTGATACTATCATGCATGTGTTGATAGACCCTGGATCAACGTTGTCTTATATTTGTGTACATATGCCTGAAAAAGCTGACATAATGAAAGAACAATTAGAACAACCTATACTAGTGTCTAACCCGTTAGGACATAGTATGAGGTTAGATCATGTATATCAAGACTGTCCATTGATTGTTGAAGGACATCAGTTCTCTGCCAATCTTGTCGAACTACCGTACAAAGAATTTGACATCATCCTCGGAATGGATTGGCTCACCGAACACCAAGCAGTTATTGATTGTCGACGACGAACGATTCAACTAAAGTTTGGAGACGGAAAGTCTATAGAGGTGAAAGAGAAGCTAACACCTAGATCCACTGAATTCATCTCGTACATGCACGCTAGGCGTCTCATTCGTAAGAAATGTGAAGCTTATCTGTGTAACGTACGTGACACATGAAAGGAAACTCCTGAGTTGAAAGACATACCGACAGTATGTGGTTTTCCTGACGTATTTCCTGACGAACTTCCTGGTATACCATCTTCCAGAGAAGTAGAATTTTCTATCGACCTTGTTCCTGGAACAGGACCGATATCTGCAACCCCCTATCGCATGGCTCCTGCTGAAATGAAAGAATTGAAGGCTCAACTACAAGAACTGCTCGATAAAGGATTCACACGTCCGAGTGTTTCCCCTTGGGGAGCACCCGTTCTGTTTGTCAAAAAGAAAGACGGCTCGATGAGACTCTGCATCGATTACCGTCAATTAAACAAAGTCACAATCAAAAATCGATATCCTTTACCTCGTATCGATGACTTATTTGATCAGCTTAGAGGATCTACTGTATTCTCTAAGATTGACTTACGGTCAGGATACCATCAAATCCCNACGTCCGAGTGTTTCCCCTTGGGGAGCACCCGTTCTGTTTGTCAAAAAGAAAGACGGCTCGATGAGACTCTGCATCGATTACCGTCAATTAAACAAAGTCACAATCAAAAATCGATATCCTTTACCTCGTATCGATGACTTATTTGATCAGCTTAGAGGATCTACTGTATTCTCTAAGATTGACTTACGGTCAGGATACCATCAAATCCCTGTAAAGAAAGAGGACATCCCAAAGATTGCGTTCCGTACTCGTTATGGTCATTATGAGTTCACGGTAATGTCCTTTGGTTTGACCAATGCTCCAGCAGTATTCATGGATCTCATGAATAGTGTATTCCGACCTTATCTTGATCAATTCGTAGTTGTGTTCATCGACGACATTCTTATATATTCAAAGAATCGAGAAGACCATGCAAAGCACCTGGAGATAGTACTCAGTGTACTACGAGAACACAAACTTTATGCAAAGTTATCCAAATGTGAATTTTGGCTTGATGAAGTCACATTCCTTGGTCATGTGATTTCTAAAGAAGGTGTTAAAGTGGACCCCAGCAAAATATCTACCATCACCGAATGGAAGGTTCCGAGGAATGTTCGTGAAGTGAGAAGTTTTCTGGGATTAGCTGGATACTATCGACGATTTGTTGAAGGCTTTTCCTCGATCGCAACTCCACTTAACAAACTTCTAAGAAAAGATGTGAAATTCGTATGGACCGATGCATGTCAGCAAAGCTTTGAGAAACTAAAGAAATGTCTCACAGAAGCACCTGACACAACCAGTACCAGGTGTAGACTACACGATCTTTAGTGACGCATCTCATAATGGCTTGGGATGTGTACTCATGTAAGACGGAAAAGTCGTGGCATATGCATCAAGGCAGTTGAAGCCTCACGAATGTAACTATCCTACTCACGATCTTGAGTTAGCAGCAGTTGTATTTGCTCTGAAGATATGGCCTCATTATCTCTTTGGAGAGATGACATATATTCACACAGACCACATGATAAGTCTGTTTCGTTCTTATCATTTACATCATATTCTAAACGTTATTGCACGTAAATAGTATCTAATCATCTTATAAAATGTGATTTCAATGAATAAAACTCTCATTTTCATTCTAAGAGTCATAAAAAGGGATTCCACATGAAATTATCATAAATCATCCATTTTATGTTCAAATGCTTGAGAAAAAGGAAATAAATCATCAAAGGATCAAGATTCGGGCTTGAACAAGCTTCCGGGAAGATAAAATCGATGTTCGGGCCAAAAACCAGCGAAATTGGGCCAAGATCTCGCATCAGCCGCAAAGCCCAAACGGACCAGGGCCTAAAGCGTCCAACTTGGACGCTTGGCCAAGTTGGACGCTTGGGAGTTAGACGCCTTGGCTTCTGTCCTATAAATACAGCGCGATTCTCCCCATTCAATCCATCACTTTCATCCACTCTCTCGGGATTTGAGCTTATTATTACAATTCCAAATACTGGTTTATTATTATAGTAGTTTTAGAGTAATTTTTGGAGGAATTCTACTCCCGATCTGTTCTGTTCCGCATTTACGGAAGTTGTAAGTTTTCTTTATTTAATAAAATGCTGTTTTAATTTATGTTTGCATAGTGTGAGTTAGGGTCCGGATCTCTAGGTCCGGACTAGTTTGGTTGTTTATTTTTTTGATGTTAAACTAATGTTGGAATGGTTAATCTATTGTTCTTGCCTTATTTAGTTAATTAATATCGGAAGATTTAATTAGCTATTTATTGAGAAAATATTGCATGTCAATTGACTATGATATTCAAGTACAATGGATTAAGTACAAATCTAGAAATGGATGAGTAGTAATAGAAATATTATTATTCCAATTGTTAATTTAATATGATAAAATAAATCCAAATGATGTCCTGACCCTAGGTCCAGATCTGCACTTATACTATGTAAACTTAATTTATTATTTTTTTTACTCTGCTCTTTTACAATCGTTTCGAGAAGACTTTCATAAACCAATCCTAATCTTCGCCTAGTTAGAGTAATTAAACTAATTCCCTTCGTCCACTCCTCGAGAGATACGACACTCGGAGAGAAAACTAACCCTTTACTGGGAAGGTTTACTACTCGAAAAACTACAACTGTCAAATGGCACCGTTGTCGGGGAGTGGCACGACATTAGTTTAATTTCTTCTGATTAGCTTGGGTGAAGATTGGTTAGAACGATCTTCTCACTTCTTTTCACCAACCACCCGTAATAATTATTATGGATAACCCCAGTGGTTATTACGGTCCGCCTTCTTTCTACCAATCACCCAACCGCCCTTCGTACCAAACCCATTCACCTTACCACCCACATCAAAACCCATATGATGATGACTACCAAGTCGACAATGGGTCTGACTACTATCTCTACCATGAGGAACCACCATGTGATACCCCGTCTAGAAACTTTGGATATTCTCCATATCAAGATTCTGATGAGTATAATTATTATGAACTGATAAGTCCGTTTCGTTCTTATCATTTACATCATATTCTAGACGTTATTGCACGTAAATAATATTTAATCATCTTATTAAATGTGATTTCGATGAATAAAACTCTCATTTTCGTTCTAAGAGTCATAAAAAGGGATTCCACATAAAATCATCATAAATCATCCATTTTATGTTGAAATACTTGAGAAAAAGGGAATCAATCATCAAAGGATCAAGATTCGGGCTTGAACGAGCTTCCGGGAGGTCAAAAACAATGTTCGGGGCCAAAACGGA